TACATAAACTGTGCTTCCACACGGAGGCATTGGTGACAGCTCTCCCAATTTATCATGAATTTTGCAGTTGGCAGCGCTTTTATTTTTAATGCCTGACCATTGGAGTCCTGCTATTGCAGGAACCTTTTTCTCTATCTTCTTAATACAAGCAAGAGTCTAGCTGTCATTTTTGCAGAGAGGCTATAAAAGGTGAAATAAGTACAGTGTAAGGGATCTAAAACCAGAAGGCTAATCAAAAAATCCACAGTATTTTCTAATTTAATTATTTTTTAACGTTTGGAGTTAGCAGTGGTTACGAACATAAGTCCTGTAATGATAAATAGAATGAGCAGTTGGTTCATTCAGAGTACCAGAACAAATCAAGGAGTAGCACATCACCCAGAGTACTCTGCTATAATGCAAAAATTTGTGTACTGAGTGAAGATAAATGCTTAGATGACCCAACATACCACACCAAAGAAACAAACCAGCTGAGTGCCTTCATTTCTCTCAAGCACTAAAATATATCCATCATGAATCTGCAGTTTCACTTGAAAGCTACTAGTTGTGTCCTCAAGTGGATATCTCATTGCCATTAAGTTGGGATCATGTCCACAGAAAATAGCTCACAGGGTATCCTTTCGGAGGAAAGGAGTAAGTCCGTGGTTGGCAGTGCACAGCACTGATCCAGATGTCAGTGTGGGTAGGTGAGATGCATTTCTGCTATGGAAGTGTGCATTTTCCAGTTTCTCTCCCCTTAACTGTAACCCCTTCATGAGAAATTTGAACCTCTTTAAGTAGGTACAGGAAGGGGGGGGGAAACGTTCTGGTGGTGTTGCACTTTCTTAGAGCACTTCGCACGTTTTCCAGTGCTCTTGCAGAGGGGGAAGACTCTCTGCCAGTGCTTTGCCTCTTGCTGTACAGGGTGTGCGAGACTGAGGGGTCCCCAGGGTGAAAAATGGAGGCAGAAGAATGTTCTATTTTCCTGCTGTTGTGCAGACCCACACCATCGGGCTGACTCTTTGGCCAGGGCTCTGAACCAGGAGGTTTTCCTTCCCTGTTTTCTGTGACCACCTTGGCTGCTTGCAGAGACCCATGAGCTGGAACCTTATCATCTGGCCAGCATCCTCCCAAAGATATTTTAAGGCTGGCACGTGGAGCACCAGCTCACTGTGCTTACAACATTTTGTAGCACTCTGGTGGCAGCAATTCAATCCTTATTTGGGTTTCAGCCAACATTTGTTGTCCTCACTGGAAATAGTATTGATTATTTGAGCTCGGGAGCCAGTTATGGCCGATACGATACTCAGCACCTCGCATCCCAGGATGACGCATGCCATGGAGGCTGCTTTGCTTCAGCTGTACCTGCCAAATGGGCCACTAAGGCTTCAGACAGACCTCCGACCTTTGAAATCACCCATGGTGTGAATAAGCAGTATAACTCATGCCCTGCACCTTATTTGACATGTAGTTTTTTGAGCAGGGATTGGCATTTGTTTAATATTTCTCTTGGGGGGTGCTGTGTCCCACACAGCATCTGTCTGCTTGGTGGCACGGCAGATTTCATGCAGTGGGGAGAATTTTGGATGAGAAAAAACTGCTGTGCCAATGGAGAGTGGTTCCATGGGCTACTGGAGCCCACCAGCAATTGGTACGTAGTGTTGCACTGCCCAGCAAAGTCACGTGTGAGATGAGTGCTGTGCTTGGGCTGTCAGGATGGTCACATCGTGCGTGGGTTGGTGGGGTCCCCTGTTAGCTGCTGTGGATGAAGTGGCAGCTGGGGTCTGTGAGTCTCCTCTGCTCGACCACGATGGCCGTGTGGATGGGCAGAAAATGATGGTTACAAGTCTGAGGGCAGCTGAGCTGCTCTGGGGTGCCTGCTCCTGGCAGCAGGACTGCAAAGTGTTACACAGCAAAACCACAAAAATCTAAAGGCTTCACCCCAATGCAAATTTAAAACAAAGACCCTGATTATAAAAATAAGCCCAAGTCTCTGAACTCTTAGAGGTCAGAGGTCTCAGCCAGAGGTGAGATATCCCCTGCAATTGGAAACAGGAGCGACCTGCAGTCTGATAAACCAGTCACAGGAGGATCTCGAGAGCCCAACAGAGAGATTTCTGTGCCGACCTCATAGTGCAACGACGGGGGATGCTGCGGTGCTGATGCTGTGGGGTGTCAGGTGCTCTGCTCTCCTGGGGGCGAACTGGTGCAGATGTGGTGGGTTTGCTGGGTTGGTGCTGAAACATGGGCGATTCCTCATTTTGCTCTTTATTTATTACCTTATTCTGCCTCGCTGAGTCTGCGTTAATGTTACGTCTGGTGTTTTCAGCTCTCCTTGGGTTTACTGCATTTAACAGCTTCCTGGGCAAAGCACCTTCCCACGTGGCTTATTTGATGCTATTTAGAAGAATTTGTTGAGACTCCAGCCTGGGTTTGTTTCATTAAAATTTGGGCTGTACTTTTCCATCTGGCTGCCTGGTGGAAACAGTGTCCAAAATTGATATTTCAGTCACTTTCTATATATTTTTGGCAGAGTTAACTGCATTATGAGAAGCAGGTTACTTAAGCAAATGCAGTGGCCCCTGTCACACTTCACAGGGCCTGTTAAACACAAAACTCATATCTGATCAACACTTGGCAGTAATTACAAATGCAACGGGCAAATCAGCCTTCCTGCTCCCCGAGGAAGAGGTTGATGAGGTCTTCCAGGGGCAGCTCCTCCAACACTGCTGCTGCCTGAGTGAAATGTGATAATACCTCTGTCCACCGCGAATTACTGCATCTTCCATCACATCCCTGACCCAAAATAGTATTTAAACTGGTATTTAATGAACTGCAGCCAGGCCCACATCACCCGTACAAAGCAGAGGTATCATCTACGCTGTTTACAGAGAGGGAAATGAGTTCTTGTGCTGGCACCGAGTCGTTCCTGGAGTTGGGTGCGTTGGGAGATGCTCGCTGGGGGTGGGACGGGTTGGTGGGCGCAGGGCCCCGGCGCACACGGAGCTGCCCCTGCACCCTGCGCAGCTGGCGCGGTTACTGGGGCAGCCGCGCTGCCAGAGGCTTTTGGGGATGAGTTTGCAGGGAGGAAAGGTGTCACTTGACCTTTCTGTGATTTAGTTGCCTGGCTGCTTTAATGGCTTTGGGATGCGGGAAATGGAAGTGTAAATACCGATGACGTGCAGGTGGCCTCGCCTGTGCCTGCCTGCTCCTGGCTGCCAAGGAGCAAATACATGTCCAAAGAAAGAACACGTTATATTTTTTCCCTTCTTCTTCTTATTTATTTCACAGGCAAGGAGCAGAAGTGGGAATAAAGGAAAAAAAGACGTCAGCTGCTTATTAGATCAGCAGCAGTTGTTTTGAGCCCTAGCTTCTCCATGCCAGTTGATGCAGTAAGCTTTGTTTTGGGGGTGCTTTTCTGATGCAGAGGGCTAATCAGAAAATGGTATTTTGCTGCAATAATTTTCTGCAAGCAACTTGCACTGGCCTCTCTGAGGTAACATGCTGTTGATTAATGCACAAACTTACCCACTCTCCCTAGTGTCTAGTTTTCATTCCATGTAAGCTCTGATTATTCAGTAAAAAAGAAACATTGGCCTATGAAGCTAAACATCAAAATGCAGCAGCAGAACCCTCAGTGTCCCCACTGTTTGCAGTGTGTTTGCTCAGGGTTATTTTTATGCCATACACAATTGAGGTTATTGAGGAGAGCAAAATGAACAGTATTTGTTATTCAGTTCATTTTGGGTTTTCAGCACTGTTGTCGTCTCACAGCAGTGGTGCCTGGGGATTCGGGGGGTGTGAGGTTATGGATTTATTACATGGTGTCTGGAGCTGTACAGAAACAGCTCCCAGAGGTCTTGCTGAAGGAGAAGGAAAGGGTACTGAGTGGAGATGCCAGGAGTGGGTGGACAGAGTAGAAAACGTGGGTATGGAGACATTGAAGTGACTTGCCTACAGTGCCGGGGCACTGACTGCAAGAGCAGCCGTACTGGGATTTAGGCTTTTGGACTGATGGGCGGTGTCTAGCCTCTGAGCAAAGTGTGTAGGTTTCTGCTGGCACCTCCACTGTGCCCTTGCTGGCTGGATCTGAATCTGAGGTCAGGTGTTTTATGGCAGGTAGGTTTAACTGGGATTATGCGTATGTAAATCTGGATCTGAACTGTTTGTTTCTATAATTTGCTAAACAAAAATCCAAAGTGCGGAGAATCCTAAGAGAAGTGTATGCCTTCATTCCACAGTCTGTGTCTCGTTTTACAGGCTGTTAATACATTAAGGTTTCTTTAAAACAGTTAATAATTTGTATTAAATGGTTTAGCTACAGATTTTTAACTACTTAACAGCAACAGGCTTGAAGCAAATGGAATGAATCTGGGGTTATTCTTAAAAATATTTCCATTATCATAGTGTGTGATCACGTTGTAATCCCTGGTGTGTATGTTACACCATCCATCCCTTACAGAGCTGTGTGGCTCTTGTCTTCTGCCTTAGAGATGAAGGCAGCAGCCCACAGATGCACAGGGTACCTGCTCTGCCACTCCAGAGTCTGGGGCTAGTGCTCAGGCTGCTCTGTCAACCTCCATCTCAAGTCCAGGAGAAAAAATTGGGGTTTAGAGCAGAAAAAACAAAAGAGACTAGAAAAGCTCAAGTAAAGTATTTGGAGAAATTGTGTCATAGGAGAGATTCGAGTTAAGTCAAAGACCTCAGGCTGTTTCCATGTGGGGAAGTGAGCAGTGCTTGGTCACTGGCATTCGAGTGAATCGCTGAGGCTCATGTAGTTCCCTGTGTTGTCCTTGAAAATCTGTATGAATCTTGCTGTGGAAGTTGGGGCAATTGGTGTATCTACAAAGCAGCACAGTGCCAACCTGTGGAGCAGCATGGGAAGCCCCAGAGGTTGGCTGGATAAGTGGGTATATCTCATTCCTTGCACTGAGGTCTGTGCTAGCCACATACGGACCAGATGGTGGACCTGGCTCATTCTGCCTCTGAAACCTCTGTCCTCCCCCTCTGTCTCTCTGCAGAGCTCCCTTCCTCGGAACACTTGAGTGTGGCTGATGCAACATGGCTTGCCCTCAATGTGGTGTCTGGTGGAGGTGGCTTCTCCGGCTCCCAGCCCATCGGAGTGACCAAAATTGCAAAATCAGTAATAGCACCACTAGCTGACCAAAACATCTCAGTGTTCATGCTTTCCACCTATCAGACGGACTTCATCCTGGTAAGAGGATGTGGGAGGACCAGGCACCAGATAAAAATTCAGTTGGGCAGTTTGAATGACATTTCGGGCAACAAATTGTTCAAGGAGCAGCAGAAGTACCGAAGTCCACTTTTCCCAGAGCTCTGTGCCTTGTAGTTAGTCTCTCTTAGAAGCTTTTTCCATGGGATGAGGCATTTGTTGGTATGGGTTATCTGGTGTCTAATGAAATCACTGAGCCCACACTGCAGTCTCTCCCTTAATGGAGGCACAGGCAGCATTTCCCACCATCACTCAAACACTGGTTTTCTTAGAGTTACACAGTATCTGATCTCTGGTTGTCTGAGGGCGGCCAAAGAGGCTCCAAAGTTGTTTTTGGGGACAGACAGACTATGTTTCTGTCTCACACACGTGTGTGCATGCACATAGGGCACGGCCACATAAGCTTTATTTCCTTAGGAAACAAGGCTGAAGAACAGGCAGTGCTGAGTACTTGAAGTGCTGGAGAAGAGGTGAAACCTCCCTCTTAGAAGTCTCCACACTCTTCCCACAGTCTTACAAGCACTTTGGTGCTTAATCCTATTGATATTTGCAGTAATACCTTCAAATATGCTTCTCTGGATGCAGATCCAAATGGTGATTACTCTCACACACCTGCTGGCTCAAGCAGGAGTGATGTGTCCACTTTTCTGTGCCCTGAGAGTATGTAACCTCCGCTGCAGTGTATTCTCACTTCTGGTTCATGCCATCACGAGCTAATCCTGTTGTCAACTTCAGGTACGTGAGCGAGACCTGCCCTTTGTGATGCACACGCTGGCTGCTGAGTTCACCATCCTCAGAGTAGTGAATGGGGAGACAGTGGCTGCCGATGACCTTGGGATAACGAATGGATTTGTCAAACCAAAACTAGGTAAGGACAAGCGTGGGCTCAGCTTGCTAGGGTGTTGGTCTCCATGACACATGGGGGTGAAATTCTGCCTCCTACCTTCTTTCAGCGTTTTGATGAATGTTTATCCTCTTGTAAGATAATAATCTTAACACGTGCCTGAGTCTATCCCAGTTCAACCAAGGATTTGAGCAGGTGCTTAACTTTCTGAGTGGCGCTGATGAGCTTTGCTGAATTTGAGCCTTTTAATGCTGGTTTCACATCTCCAGAGGAGACATGCCTTTTGTAGGACAGAAGGTTAAAGTACAATTCATTTTGGTTGCAAAAATAACATTGTCTGTAGCCCATATTTCCATGTTTAAACATTTCAAAGGAAAATGGCTTATATAAAATAAAATGGCTTATATAAAAGCTTGTTTAAGTATTGCCGTGATTGATGCACAGAGAATATTTTTGTTCAGCTTTCACACTTCAGTACCAGTCAGGATCAAGGCCACAATGAGTCCAGGGTTGTACAGAACCTCAGGATGTTTCCAGTCTAGAGGAACAAGCAAAGGGCATAATCAGGAAAAGGAACTACTTAAATGTATGTGTTTGCCCACACACCTGTGAGCAATTTTGTGCCCATAACCAAACAAAGCAGGGATCCTTGTTATGAAGTGCCACTCAGCCTTGTCTCTTGATAGCTGTAAGTCACCTTGTTTAAGAAAATGAGCCTTATACAAAAAGCGTGAAGGAAGGGCACAGTGAAACATGTTGGTTATGCACAGGTATGCAGTTTGCTGTGTTGCTCTGTTTAATAGTTGCATGCCTAAATACTGACTGCTGCTCAGCCACTGGCTGCAACGTGTTTGCCAAGCTATGGCATGGCCGCTGGTTTTTAATTTTTGTAGCTATTATAGCAAAATAGCCCCCAGAACAGAGGGAAAAGAGTCTGTACTGCCAGCAATCACAGCTGGAGAAATGCCTCCCGTAGCCCTGCCTTTTAAATAGTGGAAGCCTGAATTTATTTTGACTTTTCTGTTTGTGTTGGCACCTCCTTTAGCTTGCCCCTTGTCTCATGTGGATGCACCCGATGGCCTGAAAGCCCCTGCGAGCAGAGAGCTGACCTGTGCCCCGTGCAGGGCAGGGGACTCAGGATAATCTCACCCTGTCCCTCGGGGAGAACACCGCAGGGGCAGGTATCCCCAGGCTCCTGAGTCCCTGTCCTGAGAGCCAGAGGGCTTCAGCAGTGAGGAACTTCTTACAAACACTGTCAGTTTTCTCTGCAGCCACTGCTGGTGCGTGGATAACACGTCTCGTGGGACATGAACCTGCTGCAGACGTGGCTTTATAGTTTTGTGTGTCTGTGTGTGTCTCTTTCAGTTCAGAGGCCTGTCATTCATCCCCTTTCCAGTCCGAGTAATATGTTCTGCGTCACCAGCCTGGATCCAGATACCCTTCCCACTGTTGCTACACTCCTAATGGATGTCATGTTTTACTCCAATGGGTAGGTCCCGGCAGGGAGACAGGCTCCCGGGGGAGGTGTGGCCGCCTGACAAATTCACATTGCTCCTCTGGGATGCCCAGGGATCTGCTGTGGCCTTATGCTGCTGCGGTGCTCTGTGCTTAGGGAGGGAGGTGTCACAGGCTCAAGAGAGTTCTCCTGACAGGGGGAAACCAAGTGAGGAGATTAAGGGTGCCCAAAGACATCCACTGGCTTTGGAAAGCTGAGCCTTCTCAGATTTAAGCTAAGAGTAGCAATGTGATTGATGGAGTGCACATCCACCTGTGACTGGAGGATGTACAGCTGGCTGTGCTGCTCCCTGTTCGTGCCTGTGGCTCCTGGCCCACAGCCTCCTGCGAGAGAACCTTGGGGCAGGGATGGAAGAGTTCTGTCAAATGTAGGGACTGGCATTTTTTCCCCTGCAAAATTAAAAATAAAAGCAGTGCAGTGTGACAGGACTCAATGTCACTTCCCTAAGTCAGTGTATGAACATTTCTGGTTTCACTAACTATTTTCTGCTTTAAAAGCCTGCCTTTGCTCTTCTAGCCACAGTTGATGCTGTTCTTTTCTGTTTCTTCAGAGTAAAAGACTCGGTGGTGGGCAACGAAGACTCGGGACATATTCGCTTTTTCTCCTTTTCTCTCATTGAGGGTTACATCTCCTTGGTCATGGATGTCCAGACACAGCAGAGGTGAGCTTTGATCTTAGGGTCACCTGGATCCCCAAAAAGCACCTGGGATGTTTTCAAAGGAGCAAGAAGCCACTTAAGCTCCTCCAAGTTAATTCTTGGGAGCCTCATTGCCTGGGTGTCATGTGCCTATGCCTTATCACTTCTCTCTGAGAGAAGTCTGGCATGTTAGTTCCAGCTGCTGAATCTTGGACTTGTCTGTCCAAGCCCTCAGTGAAAACACAAGCTGATGCAATGTAGGGTTATCTCACTTCTGCAAGAGGAACACTGGGGCAAAGTGATTTTGACATTTTTATTTCATTGTTCATTAGTTGTGCTGTTAAGAGCAAACCCCAAAAAACCTGGTGTACGTGGCTGAAGTTTTACTGCTCAATACCAAAAGCAGGGTGGGGATGTCAGTGATGCTGTCCTCCCGCTTTGCTTTTACACATGGCTGGGCTCAGTGCAGAGTCTCATTGTGATGATAATGTACTGAGTCATCCCTGTGCAGCAGGAGCCCATGACTCGTTTGTCTGGCAAGGAGAAAGTCAGATAGGGAGCAAATATCAACCTGTTTGTGTGTGTGTGTATGTACTTCTGCAGCTTCATGTCACAGAAGCCTCTGAGGTGTTGAGGCTAGGCAGGATGCTGCACTGAGGTGCAATGCATAGATTTGCTTTTGACACATAGTGCAGTGTTTGGTTTTGGTTCTTGCCTGCCCTAAGGTCTTGTTTTGCAAACTATTAATTCTCCTCTTTAAAGTTTTTTCGACTTTAATTGGAGTAAACCTCTGTCTGCCTTCAAGAGAGGCTGGAGGGTTGGAGCAGCAGCATGGCGCTTGGGGAACAGCAGCAGCCAATTCCTCCTCTGTCACAGACTGCCTGCTTGACCTTGGGCATGTCTCTTAGGCACTGGTTTTCTTTCCCCTGCTAAGAAATGGGGATCTCTGCAGCGATCCCAGGGGCCTCCGGGGATGGTATGGAAAAAAGCACTGATGATGCTCAGACCAGTGGTCACTGTTCAGATTCCTAAGAGAGTAGGCATGGAAAAATATTCTGTCCCTAGGTGTTTCTAAATGCAGCTTGAATCAAGCCTTCAGATATACAGTCTCGGCATTTGTAAAGCTGGGCCATGGCCTGTTTCTTAGAAGTCTTGTTCCATGTCTCTCTGGATGCCTGTGCACTTCCAGCATCAGATGCTGATTCACTACAGGACATCTGGAGGGGCAGGCAGGTGCATCTGTCCTGCTTGCCTTGGGTTTTCTCTGTTTCACCAAGCTGGTGCCGCTATTGTTGGCTTCAAGCAGCACAGGGATACAGGAACAGCAGCATCCCTGCAGGCAGAATCTGACACACTGCTGTGTTTTAATTGCCACGTTTGGTGTTCCTTTTCTTTTACAGATTTCCTAATAATTTGTTGTTTACAAGTGCATCTGGCGAACTCTGGAAGATGGTGCGGATTGGTGGGCAGCCTCTTGGCTTCGGTAAATAAACATTTGGGGGATCAGTTGGTGCACAGGTAGTCAGTCGCCTCAGGGACTTCAAGGACAATGGAAAAATCCATCTGAAGCTGAGGCTTTTTAAGAGAGAGCAGCTTAACATGACTTTGGAAGCTGAGATTTTCAAACAGGAGGAGTGACTGCTTCCTAATAAGTCAGACTTCTAAATATACTTTTGAAAGTGCTACGTGCTTGACAGCTCCATCTAAATTGCATTAATTTTCTGGACTTTGGAGGTAGCTACAGCTGGGTCCCTGTTTAAAGAGACAAAGTGGACAAAAAGATGGCATGGGAATGCACTGGAGATTACTGAAATCAGTGGTCAGAAGGCGCTGTCATACTGCAGTGCAGTCCTTGGGCACTCTGTGGCTCTAATAGATTTAGTATAGATTTATAGCAGTCCCAGTGAGAGTCCTGTTCATAGACCTGTTTCACATCCAGTGCTGCAAACGTTTTCTCTATGCAAAAGAATATTGGACCTAAGTAGCACTGAGCAAATGCTTCACATCTGCAGAGGCATTCTTGTTATTTTTATGTCCCCTGTAATTTTAAGGGGTCCAGTCTGAATACTGCATCAAAGGCCAAATCTTCAGAAAACACTGGGGCTCCTTCCCATGGTCTCTGAAATAGTTACAAGATAAAGGCTTCAAACAACATTTCTGAAAAATGTTTGGCTGATTTTTATATTTAATTGCAACTTCTACACCAGACAACCAAAAGTAGCAAGAAGGAAATTTTCATGCACCTTCTCTTTATGCATATAACAGGCATGGGATATGTCATTGATGGGACATCAGGACACTAACCAGTCCCCTAAATATGCAGTGTTTAAATATGTTAGCTTACATTCAATTTGAAATGTTCAGTTCGGATCAGTGAAACTCAGATTTCATCTGGAAACAACACACCATTGATCTGCAATGAACAGGACAGGTGAGCCATTTAAATTGGTGTGAAATCCTGTCTCAGGGGCTGTGGTGGCCTGTGGTCTGGGGACCAGATGGCCAGGCCAGCTAGCAGGTCAGCATCTCCTCTCCCAGAGATGCAGGGCACAGTGTTTAATAGCAACACCTAAAGAGAAAAATAGAGGTTAAGGGCATATGAGATTGGTTTTGGTGCTTCTTTCCTGAACGTCATCAATTGCCTTTCTTTGGACCTCTGAAAGTTAGTTCAGTTTAACATTTTCTGCCTTTCGGGGTTTTACATTTTTCTATAACAAAAGGCAATAAAATTGAATGTGCAGTGTATCAGGGTGGCCCAAAGAGTCTAATTCTGTGAGAAGGAACACATTTTACTGCAGAGATCTCTTCTGGTTGGAATTTGTGAAGGTATAGGTGCAGAGCTGTTGTGACCCAAGAGTTCTGTGAGATTGACAGATGCTGTTCAGACAGTGATTGATTTTTTTTTTTTATCTCCCCCACAGATGAATGTGGAATTGTTGCTCAGATTTCTGAGCCTTTGGCCGCAGCTGACATCCCAGCCTACTACATCAGTACTTTTAAGTTTGATCACGCATTGGTGAGTATCAAGACAGCTGATTTAGAATAGGAGAGATCTTTTCCCTGGGAGAAGACTCACGATCAGAACATCATTTCCCATCTGGAGAGATCGTAGGAGTGCCTTTGCTCTGACAGCCCAGCAGATACCTCTCTCCAGGCTCCTGGCTGTCACTGCCCTGGGCCAGAGGCTCCTGAACCAAGCCCAGCCCTACCCCAAGGCAAAGCTCTGTTAGAGAGTGTCATTCTTGCAAAAGGCTGGTGTCAGTCCTTAAAGATCTACAGCGATGGCAACGTCACGACCTCCCCGAACAGTCTCTTCCACTGCATCACTATCTTCTATTAGAAACAGCCACAAACCCTCTGTGTTTTCCTGCAAACTTAGTTGGAGGCTCCAGACTCTCAGGAAGGTGCCTCTGTGTGTGGGAAATGTTTTGGAGAGTCTCCCAATAGCAGACCCCTGCCGTCTTTCCTTGGTACCTGTATGGCCCTAATGTTTGCGTTTCGAGACCCATCTTTGATTCCTGATTAGCTCTGCTGTCCCTGCATCACCCTCCTCATGGTGTAGGCCTTTGATAAAATAGCAATAACTGGCAGGACAACAAGGGAAGGTGACTTTGAAGCAGAGAAGGGTGTTGCCATGTTTGTTCTCAGGAGTGCCATAAGCACTTGCAGCACAATTGTCAAGTGTGAGGGTCTTGCCACTCGTTCAGGGTTGTCTTTTTTTATACTGGTGGATATTTTATTTTCTAGGCCTACCTCTGCTCTTCCTTTGGCTGTATAGGACACCCTTAAAATGAGGAATTGCCCTGGAAAGGGAAAACTGCTATGCCTGTAGCCCCAAACAGGATGGCATTTGATTTGGAGCCCATTCACCAAGTCCTGAGGGAGGGAGTCATTAACCCATGTGCTAACAAAGCTCAGCTGCTTTGTGCTTTTTGGGGGTTTTTTCTTAACTATTGTCCTTTATTGCATTATACTTCTCCTTCCATTGATGCAAATTCACTGCTCAGGCCCTACTTTTGACCTGTAAAAGCTGCAGTGAGTTCAAGTTGGGATTTTTTCAGCTAATGACTTTGGTTTTTCACAGTTGGTGTGAACCATTTGCAGCCTATAGGTCATGTGTGTAAAAAGTAAATATTATTCCAGATAGCAAAGGTCAAAGTGTTATATGTGTTTGTTTTATTTTCTTGAATATTAACTGTGCTGATAAGATAAGCTAATAAAACACCATTTTAAAATCAATGCTGTTAGCTTTGCCTCACATTCCTACCTGTTGTTGGGGCCCCAGGTGCTTGCTTTTTGTGCAGAGCACAAGGTGCAGAGTGCTTCTAGTTGTCAAGTAATATCTGGAGAGCTAAGCCTTGTCCGTTAAAATAGATATTTCACTTAAAACTTGTGCCATACAATTGTTGACGCTGCGGGCAGCTCCGCCTTTCAAAAGTGTCTCATCCTGCTGCATCTGAGCCCAGCAGATCCCTGCCTGCCTCCGAGCAGCTGGCAGGGTAGTATTTGGGCCATGCACTAAGGTCTGCAGATCTTCCTTACTCAAATCAGAATTTTAGCATTTTCCTTGCTTTTTGCTGTTTTCTTTTTGTACAGTTTAAAAAGCCTGGACAGTGCTATTCTAGCTATGGAATCCTTCCACCATGAGGAAGGTGCATTTCAAGCTCTCCTTTGCATGACTTTGCTCCGGGTGTGGTGGTTGGGCTGTGTGCTTGCTGGCTCTAAGTTGGTTTTGTTGGCCAAGACCCTGACTTAGATTTTGTCATGTTTTCCCTAACTTTGCTACCCAGACACCTTGACTTATAGTGACATTTGTCAAGGTCTAAGTGCGTCTTGAATTCTTTCTCTGCATCCTCCATTTCTTGATTTAATGTTGTTCAGTACTTGTTTTCAACAATGTAAAGAGCATTATAAAACCTTGTTGCTCCCTTTGACCTGATTATTTTTCTCCTGTGCATCTTAAGGTAGTTTATTATTGCTTCATTTTTTATTTGACCTGAGTGTTGATACTCAGGTGTTCGGCAGTGCTGTTGATGTAGAGGTTTGTCCTGGAAATCAGGAGCTCTGCTTGGGAAGAAATCCCTTTGGGAGACAACGCTGATAGGAACCTCCAGCTCTCTGGTGTGTCACCTGGGGGACATAAGGTCAGGCTGGAGAGAGCTCCTGTTGCCAGCTCCCTCTAGAGAGAGCAAGTGAGAGGAGTCCCTTTTCCAGGTGCTCTGCTCTTGCTGCCTTAATGCTCAGAGGTGTCTTGTTCTTCTTCACCAGCACTTTGCATCTCATGAGGCTGAAGCTATGTCTGGGACATACTTTGGAGCTTCCCTTTTCCCTTCATGGTAGATGCTTTGCCCTCTAGCTGACAAGTGAACATCTTGCTCCAGCTGCCCTGGGATGTGGATCTTTTTGAAGGGGCGGAGGGGGGTAGGACTTCTCCACTGGTGGCAAACTAGTATGTGTCCTACAAATCAAAACTGTTTGCACATCCATCCTGGAGAAAATCCAGCCCAAACGTTTGTGGTATGATTAATACCATTTCCTTGACGTTAAGGGGGTCAAGCATTTTGCAGTGCCCATTGTGTTGAAGTGGGGAGGTGGGTCCATGCAGGTCAAAGTCAGTTGGCCAGAACTGGCCCGTTCTGCTTCCTCCTGCTTCTGTACTGCACGGAAGGAGCATATGGAGAGACGTGCTGATCATCCGCTGCGGCTGCCTGAGGAAATGTGTTTTGCAGAGTTGATTCCTATGTCTTTTCTCATTATCTTCTGGAGAGGCAGAGTCATATGGCTTCTTCCATGGCAGTGCTCAATATACTGGGAAAATGATGAGGCAGTGGAGAGTCCTGTCCACTCCTATGGTGGAGCTTTGCTGGGGTTTTCTTCCTAACCCAGAAGAATTTTCTGTATGGTTGTTTTAAGGTGATTTTCTTCCTTTTGCAGCTGACTTTTGTTCACACATCGTCAGAGTTAGCTGCGCCTATTCCATCTTCCCACTGGAAAATTGAACATTTTGCTTGTTATTTCTCATGAGGTTTTTTCCTCAGTTTTGTTAAAAGCCTTGCAGAAAATCACAGTCCAGTTGTATTTCCACTGTCTGAGCTCTGGAGGGTGTCCAGTGAATCCAGGTATTGTACTCCTGGCCAAGGACTCAAATACCTGGCAGAAGAGACAGTCCCTTCTTCAACTTACTTAATGCGAATTATTTTGGCTTCTTGCAGCAGCTCGCAGATAATTTATTTTTCCCTCAGTCTCTTTTCCATTTTCCAAGAGCTGTTAGCTGCCTCTCCCCTGAGTGTCATCTTTGAGTTTATGTAATGGTCAGATGCCTCTTTTCTGTCTGATGTAACTTCACTTGTGATATTCTTTTCTACCAATGACAGTTGCTCTGAGATCTTTTGTGTCTTCTATTACAAGGGTTTTTTTCTTGAAATAAGTGTGAAAAGACACCCAGTAATAATTTGGTATATGAACTTCTGTGGTTAAGTCTCATCACAAGACTGGATAAGAAAGCTCAGGTACTGCACCATCTGGGACCCCTACCAGAAGCAGACTGGCAGTTCTTCTGATGGACATTTTCCCCTGTCACCCAACGTGGTCTCCCCACCCACACACCTACAGTTCCCAAACCTGTAGGATGCTCCAGAGAGCCTCATGGAGGGAGCCCTTACGCAGGCACATAAATCCATCAGCACAGGCACTGTGTGAGAGAGCTCCTGGTGTACAAAGGCTTTACCAACAAAAGGAAGGGAAAGGAGGGGAGAGGAAGCGGAGAAGGAAAGGAAAACCTCACCTTGTTGCTTCCCCACCAGCACCCACCATACAGACAGCAAACCAGCCAGATCTCACAATATTTGCTCCTAGGAGTACCGTGGGTTAACACTTTTGATCAGAGGGTGTCTCTTGTAGATGGAGTGCTTTCTCAGTGGAGTTCAGGTGGCCAACAGCAAAGTACCTGGCTCCTTGGAACTGTTCTGGCTTCGTCTCCTGCCTCTCCTCTCCTTGTCATCCCTGCCAGGCTTCTGCTAGAGCATGACCTTTGTTTTTCTTTTCTTGCAGGTACCTGAAGAAAATATAAATGGTGTGGTCAATGCACTCCAAGTCAGTCAAGCTGAAAAGCATTAGAAATCTTCTGAGCTGGTTCCAGATGCTTTTTATTATTATAATTATTATTATTATTATTATAATTATTATTATTATTATTATTCTTTTTTTCTCACAGTATTTCTTGAAAAATCTGATTCCAGAGAGTGACATGAAAAGAGACTGTGGAAAGTTGAGCAAAAACAGCTCCAATAAGCCTTTGTTTTAATTATAATTATTATTGTTATTTTATTAAATTTATGAATGAGGGGCAGGAGGAAGGAGAGTTCAGACAGTTTCCTGATGTTCAGCTCCAAGGCGAAGTGTAACCTGCCCATGTTTTCGTGTGGAAGGAGCTGCCGGGGACACCCACCTCTCCCCGACGCACGGCGGGACGGCCGCACGCACGGGCGCTCTGCCCGCAGCTGCGCGGCACGGCTGGGCTGGGTGGGCCGCTGGCTCAGAGAGAGCCCTGAAAACCATAAACAAAATGAAATGTGGAATTAAAACAGAAAAGACGTCACGTAGTACTGGCTTGTCTCCTCGCATCAGACTTTCTGAGGACTGTCTGTCATTGCCTGTGTTAAGACAGGATGGGAATTGGCTTCTGTTTCCCCTGACAAAACTGTTTGGTGTTGGAAAAGAGGAAAATACCCAGTTGCTTGAATTTTTCCCTTTTCCCTTTCTCCCTGCAGTCAAAGCCTGACTGCTCTGAGGAAGCCTGGGCAAGGGGCGCGTTGCTCTGGCCCACCTCCCGGGAGGTGGTGTCACCAAGACTTCTGTCTGCATTGAAACTTGGCCATTTTAGCTCAGTTTTCTCATCACCCTCCACTGCCCCCTGTGTCCTCCTGCTGCGTCCCCTGCTCCAGGGTGACTGCTGTCCCCTTGCCCGCACATCAGAGCCATCCCCAAGCCCTTGTCCCCCAGGGTCAGCAAGAGATAAGAGGCATCTTTTCTCCTGTCTTCCTCAGGCTTTTTTTCATCCACTTTGTACACAACATTCATGGGGACACAAAGGATTGTCCAGAGTCCTTGGGTAGCTGCTGCTCTGCCAAGAGCCACAGCAGGTTGTTCCCACCAGGGCCAGGAGGATGCCCAAGCCCTTCTGGGACCCTCCTGCAGTTTTTCATCAGCTCCTTTATCACCAGGGTGGAAATCGCTGATAGCTGGGGTCTTGACTCCCAGGGGTTTTCCACTGGGTTCAATGGGCAGCATTTTGAAAGCAGAATGATGCTGAAAATGCATAAAACCTGAGACGTGTCTTTCTGGTTCTGTCACGGGAAAGCGATGTGGGCTTTTCCTGTGGGGCAGCAGGAGTGTGGTTGCTCCAGACTTGCACCAAAGCTGTGGGCCAGTGGGAGCCAGGCACTGGGGGCCGGTGCTGGCAGAGCGGGCACCACCCAAGACATAGGTACCAGTGATCTGCACCGTGCTGTGAGGGGTGGTGAAGAGGAGAAGCTGCCTGCAGAGGACTCTGCTTTTACAGTTAGGAGCCCAAGGATCTCTTGCATTTCTAAACTTCTTCCCATTTCATTTTTGATATGAAGAAGTTGCAGGTCTGGCAGTTTTAACGTGGGCTTTCCAGCTTTGCTTCCAAGACAAGCCGCTAGCATGGTTTTCCTGAGGCTGTGTCTTTATTAAAGAGCTTTGAGCCAGGGTTTTGCGTTAATCTGGAGGCAGTAAGCAAGCACCTGAGATCATGCTATGGGCATGGTTTATACTGGTGTGTAGGACATGCAAACAGGTTCATACTGGTGTGTGGGACATGCAAACACATACACTGGCTTAAGCTCACTGTTCTCCATTCAAGGTGCTGGAGGGTTGAGCTTAACATTTGTGATTTCTGGTGCTGCTGGACCCAGATACTGAGTTTCAGATTTTCTGATTTTTCATAAGCAGGATGTTGTGTGGCAGCTAGAGCAGGAATCCAAGCATCCGCAGGAAAAAGTGGGGGTAACATTCCTTTGTAGGCCCCGAGTTAAAGCATCCCTGCTGAGAAACACTTCAGCATGTGTTTAGTACCTTACTGAATAGTGTGTTCTGCTGTTCCTTCTTTTCACAGTTGCCCCATGATGTGTTACAGTCACTCCAGATTTCTGGAGTAAAGGTTTATTCCAGGTGTGGCACCGTGCGTCTCTGGATGTTTGCTTGGAAAGATGCTTTGGTCTCCTGCTGCATGCTGTCAGGATGCAAGTGCAGGCTGTGCGCTGCAATATTTGAAAGCACCCGGAGAAGTTTTCTGTGAGTCTGCACAGTGTCCTTGGCAGAATGTGGCAGGGCAGGCGGTAGCTTTTCACCGTGTGAATTATTGAATGGTTTCTCCTTGGGATGGCACATTGGGATGTTTGTAGGACCATGCAGGATTTTTTTGGAGAGGATACCAGCACATTAGTTGGTGTGCAGCTACTGAGTTGCCAGCCAGGCTTTCTGCTTGGCTGAGTTGAGCCTGAGCTTTCCCTGTGCGCATGGACAGTTTGACCAGGATAGGGTCTTCGTTGTGCTCCTGGGTTTTGTCAACCATTAAAAAATGATTTATTTAGCTACTTTCCCCATCCCCATGTGCTAGTGCTGCTTTCTAAGGACCGCGACATGTACGGTAAGGAATTACTTGAATCAAGCAACAACTTTACTGAGCCTTAAAAGAAAGCAAAAAAATAGGTTTTAATTTTTTTTTTTAAACTTTGCACTCAGGCTATTTTACAGGCTGACTTTTTAATTTAAATTTTTCACTTTTTTTTCCGAGGAAGTTGGCCTTAAATTCGTAAAAACTGCAGAAGTCTTTGGTGTGTTTCAGAACTTTACAAAAGCAGGTTGCTGTCCTGGCACGAGAAAGTTAACCTAAAAAATTCACAAGGTGTAAAATGCCATCGAGGGAGACTCTGTCTCTTCTGTCATCCTCGGTTTCACCTTTTTATTTCCTCTCTCATTTTGTCCTGAGAACCACGAAGATTGTTTCAGACAACTTGGGGTAGTTTGATGCTTTCAGCATCCACACGTCGCTTTGCTAGTGGGAACTGAGATACTCTAAATTTAGCCAGAATTGGTTAAACCTTGAACCAGAGCCCTGGGGAAGGGCAGTCCAGCATGCAGTCAGGATCATCACAGACTTGCTGCACAGCAGTGTTGCTTGTGAGACCTTCACTGGATAAGGCAGAAAGAGGTCTGTAGGGGCCTTGTTAAAAAAAAAAAAAAAAAAAAAGTAGCCCTTAAAGCTGCTCAGCAGCTCCCGCTCTCCTGGCTCCTGGCCTTTGAGGTGGGGAAAAATTGAAGGTCTTGGTTTTTTTAAATGCCTTATGATAATAATGTCTCTGAGCATCCCTGGCATTGTGCTGTTTAACACTGTGTGGATAAAAGGAGGAACGTGTCCCTTCAGCTGGGCGCCTGCACGGCTGAGGGCAGGTTCCCTGTCAGCCACCTGCACTGCCCCGAGCGTCCCTGCTCGGCTCTGGAGTTTCACCCGGCCATGGCTGCTGCTCATCAGGGATCACCTTAATGTGGTGGGACCCTTCCCGTGCCCTCTCGGTTCCTCCCGTTGCACAAAAATTCACCAAACAGCAAAATGCAAAAAGCGTTTCCAGCCCTGCAAGGAGGGGTGGGCAGGGAAGGAGAACATAGCCCTCCCGTATCCTCCTTGTTTCTCTGAGGCCTTGGTTTTTTAGAAAATTCAACCTTTCTCATGTTGTGTGTGTTACAACACAGGTTTTTGTCTTTTTTCCCCCACCCCAATTAGATTTTGACTGCAAATTCCTTTCTACTGTGCAAGTGTGTGCAAATGTCCATATAACTGTATAGTGTTTACGTAGAAATACTTAGTATGTCTCTGTTGTACACATATAGAAATACCTGTGTTTTATGTTTGTATGGCTATATACTGTACATAGCATATATACTTGAGCAATATAGGTTAATATATGCTGTGTGAGTACATGTGTGTATACTCTAGGCACACGTTCTCTGTGTGTGTATATATATGTGGTAAGTGCTGTATACACACATTGATTCACCATATATTTTTAATTCAAGTATATAGGCAATATGAATACTTAGTTATGCTCTCGGGATTTCTCTACACGTTTTTAGCAAAGAGCAGCAGTGAAGCTGACCTGGAGCAAAGCTGTGGCTCCTGTGTGTGCTGTGTGTAGGCAGACCCAGGCTGATTTGCAGCACCAGGTTTCGGAAACACCCCGTTCCTCTTCAGCTTGGTGCCTCAAGCACGGAGACTGTAGGAAAGTTGCTCCTTTTTCTTTATATATGTTTCAGTTGCTGCCCTGAATTGCTTCAGCCTGTACATAGTGCTGGTTCGGTTGCAAAGTGCCTGCCCAGCCCCTGGCTGGGGGATTTGCAATGGGGCGTCCAGTTCCTGCAAGCACCGAGCCCGTGGTGCTGCCGCCCGCCTTCCCCCAGCCCCGGGGGGGTCCGGGTGGTGGGGAGCAGGGGGCACCTGCCCGCGAGGTCTTCAGGTTGCCTGGTCTTGGTGGCTTCCCCAGCGTCTGCATGCGGCTGCGGGCGGTGGTTTACTGGTGGATACGTCAGCTGATGGCTCAGTGGCCAGAAGGCAACCCATGGCTAATGCCGGGCTCTGGTGTTTATTGGGAAACTCACATCTTGTAGACCTGTGAGGAGCTTGAGTCAACAGGTTATTTGTAAATAGCTGGAAGTGTTGAAGGGTCTTCTCCTGTTAAAAGGAGGAGAGGTGGTTTGAACGCAGGCGCTGGCAGCGTGAGGTCTTTGCATCTCACCGTGGGAGTTTCCTGCTGACCAGGAGGGCTTTTCGGGTCCAGGTGGGGAAAGGTTTTTACCCAAAACATCCCTTCTTTTGATCTTTCGGTTAACGCTTCACCAAGTGCAGTGGGGGTGCTGCTTTGCCGCTGACCTTTCAGCGCTTGCAGGTGGCTGATTTTCAGCCTGCTACGTTGGTTTGTGCAGCTTTCCTGTTTCTTTTCAGGCATTGAAGTCAGTTTGATTTGCAGTTGGTAGAGTTTGTGAAATACTGTGATTTAAGTGGCATCTATTAATCTTACTTGCATAGGGAGGCCTTAATGGAAGTACTTGGGTTTGCTGGAGCACAGAGATTGTGGCACCTGCAGCGGGCGACGTTAGTATTAAGACTTACTTAATGGCAATGCCATTTATAAACACCATTCATCATATAAACATCATACTGCTGCTTCCAAATGTATTTTTAACTCCAAGCTCAGTGTTACCATTCCCAGGAGACACGGGTAGGGAATGCTGTTGGCCAGAGATGAATCAACCCTCATCTGTAACAAAAAGCTTGTTGGTGCCGGACCCTGCTTCTTGGGTCACAGATGGCATCAAGCAGTGATTTACTCTTTTAAGACGTGCCATGCAGAGCAGGCGTGGGGATTTTCAGGACTGACACTTGAAGGAAAATGTTATTGGAAGGTCAGGATTGCTTTAGCCAAGAAAAGCATCCAACAGAAGTTTATCAGGTTTCATTTTTCTGAAAGAATGACATTTTGTCCTGCAGACACTGGGAGGGAAACAAGGCAGCACAACGCAGGGGGCATGTAGCAGAGGAGGTCTGAAAGCAGCCATTTTTTGTCTTTTCTTAGCTTTGCTGTACAGTGCTTGAATTTTCTTCTGTTACAAAGGGGGCAACCTCACCACTGTAAGCTAATATGGTTGTTACTGCCTCGGCGGTTTCCCCCACGTCTCTGTGGAGGTCCCTGAAAGACCAGGGGAAAGGCAAGAATGCAAAAGATTGGGTTTTTTTTAGTCGTGCAAATATGAATGTACGCAGTTTTGCTCATTGTTTTTGTGAACACAAAAGCATTTCCATTATTCTTTTTTTCTTCTTTGAATCAAACAGACGTCCTCTCCCTGCCCAGTGACCCCCCTGGGGATGCATTTGTCCCAGTAGCACCCTCCCAGCAAGGGCAGCACGAGCGCTCCCAAACCCCTGGTATTCAGAAAATCTTCCAATGCTCAACCACAGCCTGGGGAGAAGCCTCCAAGTGTCACTGAGTGTTTTGAGGTAATGGTGGTGTCAGTGGCCGCGGGGGTTAGTCACATCGTTGTGTTTCTCCCCGTCCATGCACCCACACCGTTGGAGAGCACCAGGGCATTCAGACTCCCTACTTGAGAGGTCAGCAGCTGGAGTGCCAGGGCCTGTATTGGTGCAATCAGTGCTCAGTGAGAGCAAAAGTTCCTGTCTTGGCAACAGATAAGTGGCATTTTCTGGTAATGACAAGGGAGGAATTCTTTGTTCAGCCCAAGCCTGAGCAGCAGCTGCTGGTTCCTGAGTGAAGGTGTCTCACTGCAGCATTTGGTGGCGGACAAGAAATCATTTTCTGATGAGGATTTCTTTTCTCTCTGTTACTGTGTTACATGGCTATTGTGGACATCTCCAGTAAGCAGCTTAAGGCGTCTCACTTACCTGTTCCAGTCCTGCCTGCAAACCTTGGATTGGATTAAACTTTTATTACCTGCTAGAGAGTAAAACCCCGTAATCCTTTGCCAAATACTATTTACATTTCATAGCATGTGCTGGGGTGTGTTTACGTTGGCCAAGCTGTGCAGATCTGCCTCCAGGTTTAGATTCCTTCTCCCTGTGAGCACCTCTGTCTGCCCGTACCCTGCGTGGGCTGTGTGTGTCAGGGGCCAGCAATATCCCTTGGGCATCCTGGCAGCGCTGAGCTGGTACAGAAATGCCCTGTGCACATCCCCAGCGAGGGTTGTGGGACCTGCCCTGGGAGGAAGACGCTCAACTGTGAATCTTGAGTTACTCTGCTGTCTTCAGTCCCTTCTTTTCCATCCCACGGCCTCTTCTTTATTTAATCTTTGTGAAGCACAGCTTGGTTGAAATACCAGCACTAGTTAGGACAGGTGAAGAAAAGGACTGGGTTCTGCAACACGGGACGTGCACTGGAGGCTGCTCAGCAAGTCCTGGCTGTAGCAGCAATAGCCCCTGCAGAAGCTCTGGTGAGCGTGGAGCAATGCACAGACCCTGTTTGAAGCAGGGGAAATAAATGAAGTATGTATCAGACGAAGTATATTCTAATTTTAGGGTATGAATGTACAGAGAAACATACCTCTTTGGAACATGTATAGCCAAGATGTTCCTTTCTTGGTCTTTCTAGACAGCACCAGCCATTTCTCCTCCAGGTTGGGAAGATAATTTGTACTCCGAAGCCTAGGACTGAGTAATTGCAGATCAGGTGTAATAGCTTCTCCCAGCTCTGGGATTCCCTTGCGGAGATGACCTGTGCCGCTGCCTGCACGGGTTTGGCGCGTGGGGAGCTGTGGGGAGTGCAGACCCCGGGCAGCTCATCCCAGCTGAACCCCGGCCGCTGCTCACCTCCTGCCCTGGCTGCCGGCTCAAGCGTGGCCACAGCCAGCCCAGCTCGGGCTGCACAAGTGGTCGTGTGGTCGCAATCAAGCTGCTTAATTCCCTGGTTTTGTTGTTGTTTTCAGCCTTTTTTACATTTCTGCAGAATTTTGTAAATGAAGGGTGGTTGCATTTTGGATCGGAGACAGATGGAGTTGCCCAGCAGGAATCTGGCAAGATGGAAATTTTGAAATATCTCTAGGAGCAGAGCGAGAGCACTTTGCTCCCCTCTGTCTTAGCTCTGTCCTCTGCCTGTACCGTAGGGAGAGCTGATCCGCTGCTCAGTGTCCCTCTCTAGGCAGACCCAGTCATTTTACTGCTGTCCTCCCAACCCTAAAAAATTAATGCCAAAAAAAGGGCTCCTTTCATCCTTCATTTTGGGGGGCTGGTTGCTTTTTTTCCTCCCTGTGTGGATGTGGCAGAGGCAATCTCTCGCACAGTGCTTTTGGGAGGCTGGTTGTAGTTTGGGGTCCCCCTGCTCCACTCAGCTTTCTGCTGCTGTCTCAGCATCTTTAGGATTTGAAACCAGCTTTCTGCAATTACAGTAATAAGCTTTTTCTTTTTCGCAAAGGATTCCTACCAGCTGTTTTGTAACTTGAAGAACAGTTTTCCAGGTACCTGATTCCCTGGCCCTTGTGGAAATGCTGCTGGAAGCACCCCACTTGCCAGGATCGCTGCTGTGAGCTTTGATGCTCCTTTGGGCCCCAAAACAGGAGCTCGGCCCCATTTGCTTCTGAAACACGCTGCGGCAGCCACCGGGCTCAGGCTGGAGGGAGGCAGCTCCAGGGAGCAGGTTGCACGGGGGATGCAGCCCTGGCACGCGGAGCCACCTCGCCCTCCCCGTCCT